GGTGGAGGAAGGCTCTAGAAGTCAGAGAGATCACGTTAGCATAGCAGAACTATTTATAGTCAAAAAGAACAGTTTTGTAAAACAAAATCATATCAGGTTTAAATGTATGTTCTTGTTGTTTCAGTTTTGTTCTGTTATTTTGATTTACAACTTCAGTGTGTTCCTGCGTGTAGTACAAACACTGTGCAAGTACACAAGGAGAGGGAGAAATCTGGTTAACTGCTATTTATCATCCAAAGTAATAGGCAAGAAAAACAAATTGCCAGCTTAAGTTTGCAAGTCAGCTCCTAAAATTATTTTGGTACTACACATTCTTTTGGTTCTAAATGCTTCTTGTAACATTTTCATAGAGAGATCCTTGTTGTTGCTATGCCCTTAAAGCATTTCTCTTTAGACCCAGACTGAAAGGTGCTGGATCACACTAAGTATGTATTTCTTGATTAGCCTTGCTGAAGTCTGTAAGAGCTGCTGAAGGGATACTTTAGTCTTTGACACAATTATTGGCATTGCAGTCTTGCTCTTTATAGTTAAATTAGAGTGAATTGCAAAAAAAGAGTATTGAGGAAGCCATTTAGTAAAAAGTTGAGCTCATAAATTATTCATTAATGTAGTCTTTGACTACTGTGGAATTTCACGAGTATTTTGGTAACTGAAGGGAAATTTGGCCTGTAGATCTGCAGTGGCTTTTGCGGCATTTTAGAATTTGAAGTGCTATCTACTGGAAATGGAAATTAGCCTGTGCAGAAAATGCGAGTTCCCTCAATTTGGCAGCAATCTGATCTTAGTGTGAGGCTTTGTTTCCATGTAAACTGCTTGGCTGTATAAGCTAAGAATGTTATTGGATCTTTAATTTTGTCATTCTGACACTGAGAGTTACGCTCTCTAAGGAAGGATGTCTACTCTAGGGTATGTTTTCACAAAAAATCAAGCAATGACTCTTTATAAGTGTTTCATTTCCCTTGATATTCTTGCTAATTATTAACTATATTTGTTGTAAAGAGGAATTTCCCCAACAGCCAGCCTTGTCTCTGTGCTTGATTCTGCACTACCTCTCCATTTATGATGCCATCAGAAATATTCCCATGGTAACAGACTAATATCATAAACAGATAATTGCAGCTTTACTGTAAGATTCAGAAGGCAAATTATATCTGGGAGGGAGAGAGCCATTTGCTAAAATAAATCTCTGAGATAATAGCAAGTGGAACACACGATATACTGACCAAGAGCCTTAAACCACACCTCATTCAGGATATGAAAGCATTTTATGGCATTATTTACAAATAGCCTCCAAGAGGCAAATGCTCTTAGACCTATTTTATAGGTTAGGGAGTGAGAGAGAATAACTAATGATTTTTGTCTGACACACCAGTAGTTAAACACCAGAGTGTGTTTGATCCAGCACTCTGTACTGTGGATGACACTACCCCACTACTGTTCAGATATTTCAGTAGGATTCTCTTTAAATCAATGAAAAGTACATGTCTAATACAAGTGGCTACTTAGCACTCGTTATCCAGTAAGAGAATTTTGTGCCAATCAAAAGTCTTCCTGTTCTGACTTAAATCCTTGTGACCTTCCAGGTCTTGGTGAAGAGTGTGTGGTAGTGTGATGGGGTGGGATTTAGGAATTCTGAACCATAGATCTGTGAATGACCACAAACAAGTGACAATATTTGTGCTCACTTCCCTCTTTCTGTAATGTTCCCTCTTAACTCATAAATCTGTTGCTATTCTTCATGTTCCTCAGGGTCTATCTTTCAAAATACATATGAAGAGCACTAGCATGGTGGGAAAATGGCTTAACGTAAAATTCCCAAGTGCTGTTTGCAACTATTATTTCTGGTGCAGCCTTCACAGAAGGTGTGGAGTGGTAGACTCAAATAATGTAAGGTTTAGCTGAGTATTCCTTTGTGGAAGTACAGTGGGTTAGATCTTAAAATCCAAAGTATATCAGCCATCACCAGTTGAAAGGAACGTCAGGAAATGACTTCTGATTCCCTAGGTAATAACCAGATTCACTTTTGTGTAGAAATGACGTGTTCAGAACAAGTGAAGTTCTTGTATCCCTTTTAAAAATGGTGCTATATCCCTGTTTATCATCTATACTCCTTTTAGAGAGTAACAACAGTAATTAGAGGGCACAGCACTTTATGAAGAGTAATGACCTTCGGTCCTTCAACTGCTCCTTAGATCATTAGCTGGTCACTAATCCTCAAGAAGTGTCCTGTTCTTTGGGTTGTTTTTTTTTTTTTGGTCACAGAAGTTGTGGTAATTGATGGTTTTAAACTTACCTAGCTTCTTCCTTGGGAAAAAAAAAAGTCCTCTCTGTATCTAAACTGTCCAGCTCTCTAAATGGCTCTGGTTCATTCTTTGATTGTTTTTCTTCCCTGTAAGGAAATAATCTCATTAGCTGAAAGATGATCGGTAGCAATTCTTCACTACTGAATTGGCATTCATACAGAACTGTTTGCACATACTTGTCTTGGACTTGCTCTACTGAGAAGCAATCAAATAAACAAAATTTATAGGGCTAAAGTTTATGTATATTTCTAAGCAGAAAACTGAAGTCCGCCACGAGATTCAAAGGAGAAGTGGTAACTGACATCTGCTTCACAAAAGTAGAGTAGGATGCTCAATTTCCTCAAAATATTTAGGACAGAATTTGAGCAGAAATAAACTCCTCTGTCAGTCCTAGAAAACAATACCCCAGTGCTCCATTCCTGGCCACTCTTATAAGTAATTAAGAAAGGAAATGCCAGAAGCAGGAGGGAATGCGGTGGCCAGGTCTTGCATTTCTAGGGAAAGGAGGCAAAAATGTCTTCAAAAGAGCAAACCTGGAACAGCTTTGCTCTGCGCAAATCATAAACTCTTCTATGAGAACTTTGCTGAAATTTCACGTTAAATTACTTAGATTTGTGAAGCTGGCAGCCACTATGCCAAGAAGCAGCCATCTTTAGTGATACCGGCAGAATGAGAGTCTTGAGTCAGTGATGGCAAACAAGTTTTCCTCTTGCTTTATAATTGGTTTAAGAGTTGAAAGAAACATATGTTGCACAATAGCATGTTATTAACCTCACAATATTTGAAGGTTTTCTTAAAGTTTCAGTTCCTGGAATCTTATGATTGCCTGAGCATCTTGGCTTTTTTTTTTTTGTTTGTTTCTGTGGGTTTTTTTTTTTTAAGAAAGTCTAAGAGTCTAGCCATCTTTGTTGTGACAAAAGCAGAAAAGTATGAACTGCAAAAGCTATGCCTGTAGAAGACTAACAAAGGTATCTCATAGGATACTGACTTTTGAAATCTTAATTGATTTCATGTCAGTCCTGTGTTTTTAAGCCCACTGTATGGTTCCAAAGGCTTATGGCTGATAATTGGTTGTTTTCCTTGCTAAGGTACTGAGGTTTGAACCAGGCATCTTGAAACCTAGAAGTAGAGGGTGCTATACCTGGAGCTAAAGCTGACAGAACTCCAACAGGCTTTTCTTTGAACTGGGCACAACAGAAGTGATTCTACAGTGATTCTCTATCACTAATAGAAGGGATAGAAGTTTCTGTGTGAAATTGTGTAGTGCTCATGTTTTAAGCATTAGAATAGGCATTAGCACAGGATGCACAAATTGCTAAGTCCCATATAAAAATGATTTGGTTAGTAGTTGTGCAATCCTCCTTTTGATCCTCAGAGGTGACTTTATGATTCTTATGACTTACATGTGAAATTTTGAGGTTAGATATTTTTCATGACTTATTTTTCTTCCTTTAGTCATCTTTTGCACGCAAATATTGAGGTTTGTACCTGAATGCTATTAAGTTTGTGTAGATTAGGAGAGGACACCAGAATCCACAGATTAACTTCAAGATCTCTGTACTTGTAGACATGTCTCCCCACCATATTTTTGTCAGGAAAGCCTGAAAGTCAAGAAAATAGAGTGCAGACATGGGTTTGACACCGCAAAAACACACACGCAGCTCAAATACACCTATGTTCTGAGGCTCCGAAGGCAGTGAACATCAGGTAGTGCTTTGAAAACCTAGACAGCAGGTGCATCTTCAGAGCAAACAGGCACTTTGTGCATCCTTCTGTAGATTTTTTTGCATATCCAAATGTTAGGAGAGTACAGTGGAAAGACAGCAATTCAAGTAGAATTAAGCATCATCTGTACTACTGAGAAATCTGTACTCATCTGTACTCATCTACTACTGAGAAAGTGTGAGCCGGCCATTGAGAGAGAAAAACACCACCACTCTTAATTTAGCTCTGTGAATCTGGACAGATCTCAGCATGTCTGGGCAAGGCTAAATAGTAGTTTGATTTAACTTTTATCAGTGAGCAATTCTTTGGATCTAAATAAGCTCTGTAAAGGAGTTACCTAACGTTTTGGAGCAGCTTCATTATGCCTAAGGCAAATTTAAAGTGCTTTCCTGATGCTTCTCTGTGAGCAAGGAAGGAGAAAAAGCACAGGATGGAATGAGGGCTGTATCTTTTTCTCCACGCACTTTCCTCTGTGCTAGTTGCATGAAAGGGAGGGGAAACGGGGAACTGTGGTGATTTGCCAGGGACGTAGCAGAATGCCCTCTTTGCCTGGTGCTAGCGAGAGGAAAGAATTCCTTCTCAGAAGAATGTCTCTGAGGGGAATACGTTTCATGGGGTCTTCAGTTGCTGCGCCACCCTCTTCTGTGTCCAACATCATGCTTCAAAGCCCTGGGGGGCGGAGATGGTGAGGAAAGTATCTGTGGAGCTTACCTGGACACCGTCATGTGCAAAGAAAGACTTTGCGTCTGCTTCTGTAGCCAGGTGAAGGCAGGTGGTTTTGCTCCAGTGTTGATTTTTCCTCACCAATAGAGCAAATGCTCTCTCCTCACTGTTGCGGTAGCATTCACTAAACAGTTCTGCCAAATGGAAAAAATGGAAATGTAGACAAATGGATCTTGTCATGGAAGATGAACATGAGGCAAGAGGATGGTGTGTGTAGGGCACAATATGGTGGCACCCAAGCCTGAGCATTGCCAGATGCTGCTTGCTCTCCCAGAGAGTTCTGTGAGTCTGCAGTAGTTGAAAAGAGCCTGAGAAAGCTAAGAGGAGGAGGAGGGAGAGAGAAATCATTCTGGACTCAAGAATAACTTTATATGGCTGTATGCATGTGTGTACATGTGTTGGGGCAGAGAGCAGATAAAATAGATTTGCCTAGGTGAAAGAATCGCTGGAATTGTGTTTTTTAAATTCTCACTGCTTGCAGAAAGGTATGGAGTGAATTTGTCAGTACCTCCCTCTTGCCTCTTTCTATCTGCATGCTCCCTTCTCAGCTCCGGGGCACACACGCTTGCTCTCTTTTTTTTTTTTCCCACCCCTCCTACTGTTAAGTATTTCCTTCTCAGTTCTCCTACAGGCATGTCAATATGTTACAGTCCCTCTTCTAGAGCTGCCTTATGTGCAGTTTTAGGAAAAAGCAAATCTCTTGGGAGATTCCCTTACACTTTGAAGGATGAGTTGCCAAGCTGCCCTCATTCACCTGAATAGACTAAACAAAAGGAGTAGCTCAGCTTTTGCTTGTAGCCAACAAATGCTTGGTTTTAAGTCATAGATGTTAGACATAAAATAATGTTAGACTTTGTAGAGTGATGTGGCATAGTTCTTTCTTTCTATTTCAAGAAAAGCTGGTGGTGGAGCTCAGAAATTGGGATGAACAGTGTGCCAAAAAGCCAAGGTTTGATCATTAGATCTGATCTCTTGGGTCAGTTTGTTTCTCTGCGCTGATTCACTCGATTATCTCAGTACCTTTCCTAGTCCAGTCTACACTTTGTTTTTGCACTATGACAACTGGGGGAAGGATCAAGATCACTTACGATAGGCTGATACACAGATTTCTTTTGCAGTTGACATGGTATTTATCATTTCTAATTAATATTGACAGTGTTAAGCAGGCCAGAAACGAAAACTGAGGACCTGAGCTAATGCTTACCAAAGCCAAGGAGCAGACTTCTGTGTGTTGGATTAGGCCCTGTAATGACCCGTGACTAAATTGCTAGAGCCCTACGATTATACAAGAACTTGACTTTTATATTTCACAAATAATAACGACACTGTGAGAAGAGGGGAAAAAATGTGATCTGTGTATAAATAACATAACAAAGTCTGCATGAGCATTCAGCAGCTTGATATGTTAGGTCTAATGGGAGAGAAGTATCCTTTGCATTTCTACATGTGGTGTATTCTAAAGTCTTCTGTTCACTGCACCGTTACCTTGAGGTACAAATTGGACTTGATGTCAGATTAGCAGAGAAACTCATGTGCAAACATCTGTTTTTACATTGAGCAAAGGAGGGAAGGCTTCTCATTCCAGTGCTGCTGCTGTCTGAATGCCTGGTGCTGCAGGGAGGGGCAGCTTGTCAACTGCCAAGCCAGCGAGTCTCACTTGGGAGTTTTGCAGTGTTTTGCAGTGCAGCTAGCCCTCCTTTGGGTGATCTAATCTTGAATTATCTTTAGCAGTGAAAACAAGCCTTAAAATCTGTTGCTCTAACGGCTGTTACAGAATGAGCTTAATAGCGTGGGAAAACCAGAGGGTTGTGAGCCTGAAGTATTTTGGTTATTCTATCTTGCCTATCCTTTTAATATACCTTGTTTTAAGATGAGAAACTTAAAATACCAACATGTAGATTCTTCCATGCATTCCAGGGTCCAATCTTAGAACACTCTCCCCGTCCCCAAAATCAGCATTTGGAGTTTGTTTTTTTAAGTCCTACTTCTGTGGTGTTTGAATGTTTGGAACTGGCTGTGTTGCAATAGTGTTAAATTATTCACAACAGTTGACCTTTTACAACTTGAAGATAATTTTTTTTTATTTGCTTTCCTTTCAACAGCCATCACCTCTTAAATTTTTGATGCTGTTAAAAAGCTGCTGTTACTTACCAACAGCGAGCTGCTCATATTTGGCCTCTTTCATTATACGTGCTACTTCAGTCTCTGTCTCCAGGCGGGACATTTCTTTAAGGATCTTGCAGGCTGCCAGAGCTGAAGCTACACCCTCCTGACCCTGTAAAGTTGAAAGGGGGGGTAGGTGTTACTATACACAGGAGGGCATTTCTGAACTGGTGCAGACTTCACTAACGAACGCAGCTAACCAAAAAAAAGTTATGTATCTCTTCCCCTCCAAAAGCCTTCCCTTAAATATGAACTTGAAAGTTTAAAACACTGATCGAAATGACAGCTTTGGTGATATCTGAGAGTCGAACCACTTATTGATAGTTCTTGTTGGGTATTCTGCTTACGATTCACATTAGAAGGGCCTGATTTTAGGTAGCAGTCAAGGACAGAGTAGAAAAATGGCCTGGGGAAATAGAGAAAAACATTCTCACAGTTTCCAGATCTCTCGAGCATGGTTGTGTTGAGACCATGCATAAGGACTTAGGGGAAAGGAGGGAGCACAGCTGGCAGAGGTATAAAAGCATGGAGCTGAGAGACGTGCCTTCTAGTAGTAGGGCTGTGTTAAAGATGAGACCATGCAAGGCGCAGATGTGTCTGTATGCACACACACACTGGCTAAAGAGCCATGCTGCAGTTTATCTCCCTTTCCATGACCCCCCCGTGCCAGATGGAGCTGGCTGGAAGCTCACAGATGGAGCCTTATAGCAGTGTCTGGCCTTTGTAGAGGGAAGCTACGACATTGCACTGCAGATGGTTGAGGCTGCAGAGGAGTGTAAAGCAGGCACCAGTTACGCCAGTTTGAAGCTCAGCCCCTCAGACTTTGACACTGGTGTTCTCTGCAGATACTGCACTTAAACTAGATACATGACTGCAGTGTCTCCCTTCCTGACTGCCCTAAAATCCAAACAAACAATTGACCTATTTTAGAAGATGCAAAATCTGAGATTGAGAGCTGAGTCATCAGCGGCAAGGAAGACAAAGGCTCAGCTCTGCAGCTGACAGTTAATCAGCAGAGCTTCAGGCTGTGCTGATTTACACCCGCTGCTGCTCTGCCCTCCCTCTCTGTCAGGGCCTTTGGCCCCTACTGGCATGAGCCACTCTGAGATGAAAGGCCCTATAAATGCTACATCTAGCATTTTAAGACCAAATATATGTCATTTTAACTGCAAGAGTGAGCAAAAAAAAACCCCTCATATATATGAAATATGCCAATACTTCACCTGAGGCAGCTATAGCTCAAAGCTTACCATAGCCCAGAAATAGTTTGCCATCTTGTGCCGGTTTTGAAGTACTGCCCATAAAAATAAATCCCTCCAAGGATTTTGGCTTTTCTGGTTCATATCCAATGGCCCAGGTAAGTGCTTTGTATTTGTTTTATCCTGAAATATGGTTTTGCAAAATTAAAACCTGCTTTGCAGTCTTTTTCCATGCAAATGACATGATCTAAGCAGCTCTCAGCCTTGCCAACTACATATTCTTCCCCCCCCTCGCCCCCTTTAGGACTAAGAGGTAATTAGTTCATTCTGTACAGTATCAAAAGACTCTTGTATCCCTCATATAACTTAATATGTGTGAGAACGTTCTGGATGAAATCATGACTCCATTGAAGTCAATGGCAAAGCTCTCATTGACTTTACTAAGGCCAGAGTTTCACCAGTAGTGTGTAGTATCATACAAGACAAACCTGTGATTAACTAATCTGAGCTGGCCTTCAATTACATCAGATTCTGCTTAACTGTAGCAGAGGACATGGCTTCAGAGGAAGGGAACAAAAGGCATTTTATTTAAACACAAATAAGCCTCAGCAAGGCCCTGTACATGACAAGGATTGAGCACATCAATGCCCTCTTTTTAGTCTTTCCTCTGAGAAATCTCTCCCTCATGCAGGGAGTATTTTAAGTAGAACACTGCTTGTTCCTTTAACATACAATAAAAACCTCTCTAGAGCAAGTATGGCAACTTAGGTCAAGTTCTGAGTTTTAAGTATAGTTAAACTGCCTTTATATCCATTGTGTTAATTAAAAGCAGCCAGAGTGTGCATGTGGGGATGGGTTATAAAACAAGTTTTCATGAGGATATTTTTGTAAATCACTTAAACTGTGGGGTTCTGTTCAAATGTATTTTTATGGATTTTTGGAGGGGGGGGGGTTAGGGGTTAGTGAGCTATTCAATCTACTACACTGCATTGAAAACCTTGCAGGAAACAAAGGTCTCCCAAAAGTCTCATCCATCTTAGAGCAGTCTGGGTAACCACCAGACCCTAACCTAAAAAAAGATCATGGGATTGAGCCATGGGTGGCAACTGTGGGAAGAAGCTTTTAAAGGAAAAGAGCTAGTAGGCAGTGCGATCTTGTATCTGTACTGGGCCTTATTTACACCACCTGCTTTCAGCTAAGTTACTGACAAATTCCACAAAGCACCCTGAGATTTCAGGGTGCTTTCAGGGAATTGTCAGGCATTCAGGGAGACTGCAGGGGCAGGTTTTTATTTCTGTAAAGTTTGTAAGTCTGGAGTCTGCCTGTTGACTTCAAAGGTATTGCCCCAAATTGTCTGTGCTTGCAAAAAAAGAAATCCTGCCCAGAGTCAAACTTCAGGTTTTCACGCTACCAATTTGTTCAACTAAGCTTTATGAAAGCAAAAGTCATTGACGTTCTCATGTGGTGATTTATTTTGGAGTTTAAACAGTTTTAAGATGAAACTAGAATCTGGAAAATATCAAAAGATTTATGTGTTCAGTTACTCTAAAACTCTGTGACCTTATCCAGGCTTCTCTGTACTTCTCTGTTTAGAAATAAGTTTAGACATGCGAATTCAAACGTGCTTGCAAGAATTTTGGTACTTCTGAGTTTCAGTGTGTTAAATATTCTGTCAGAATGCAAAAGTGATGAAACATTTATTGTAAAAATGCAGACAGTTCACTAGAGACATTCTACAGTGGTGCCCGTCACATGTTTTCATTCTCATGTGTTGCTCAGGGTGCTTACCCAGGCCACTTCACACAGTTGTTCTTATTTTTTGGTGTGTATTATGTCACTCAATAAGAAGATTAAAATGACCTAAAGGCAGCTACCATGCACTGCACATTATTGAATATCCAGTCTGCTCCTGTACAATATAAACCTATGAAAACTTCAATCTATAATAACGGTTACCATTTTCAGGGTTTAATTTACGTAAGTAATGCAGGCTCAGACCTGGGACTGAAAGTGGCTATCACCTGCTTCTGTCCTCTCCCTAGAAAATATTGTCTTTCAAGTACGTCTGCTTGAAATTCCATTGGAGGACTGCAGATTACTATTTCTATGTCCTAATTACTCCTTAGTAAACCTAAATCTATCTCTTCATACTCCCCATATTTCTTTCATAGAATTTGTTCTTACGCGTCAGGCTAATAAGCTCAATCTGCTCTGCATGTGTAAGGTGCCGGAATGAGAAGCAGCCTACGGAAATTGCACTACAAGGCCTCTCTGCAAAAGGTCCTGAAACGGGAGCCATCTTTTAACTCTAGGTCAAGCTACAGTAAAACCCTTAGTTTATTGGAAAAGCATGGCAGAGGGGGAGAGATAGAAATCACAATCTGTAAATCGTAGAAATTCTTTCATTTTCTTTTTCTTTTTATCTCTGAAATTAAAAAGATCAGAACATTTTTAACTGAAATAAAAATGAGCTGAAAAAAGAGGAATGAGAAACTGAAGTAATTGTTTCTCATATTTTTCTTTCTCTCCCCACTCCCTCCCCTCAAAGATTAGACCAGATCAGAATTTTTGATATTAGAAATTGCAGAAGAGTAGGACTATGATGGAGAGTTGTAACTTACAGATTTCTTCCTGCCTCCATGTCTTAGCTCTTGATAGAAACCTTTGCATGCATCATGGAGAAAATCCTTGAGAACTCTAGAGACCTCATTGAGACTGAAGAGTGGGCATGTCTCTCTCAGCTCCTTTTGCTGTTGACCAGTTAGCCCTGCCAAGGTTAGCTTGCCTTCCTCGTGTTTCCTCAGTAGAAGCTCGTAGAGCAGACACTTCTGAGAAATGGAACAGTAGAGTCTCTGTAGCCGACTATACGTCAGGAAGTCGGACATGTTGGCCCCGTTGTCAATAAATAATTTTACGAATTCTGGCTTGTCATTGACCAGAGCATCCATCATAACTTCCTCCAGGTCACAGGACTGTATTGGCACACAAAAAAATGTTTTTGGGTGGAGGGGTAATCATGGATTGCTCAGGAGGAGAGGTAGGATTTAGCATTAGGACGTGCATGTTTTGCCTGCTACCAGGTCAAGAGTGAGTGGAATAAGGAAGAGGGCTAGGCCTCTTCTAATTTCTCTGTGGCAAACGTCTACGTAAGTGCTAAAGTTAACACAAATAGCATGCTGTAGGTGTTGTGGTGATATTCAGGTACCCACTGCGCTGGGTACTATACAGCAGCTAGAAAGAGTGACATTCTTCCTACCATCTTTCCATAGTAACAGCTGCATGCTTCTTTTGCTTTGTACACTCAGCTTTGCACATATGTACTTTAAAAGTCTGTACAAAAGGAGAATAATAAGAATGGCATTCGCTCCAATGAGCTCAAGAGAGACACCAATGACCACTGAATTATTCCTCTAATGTTAGCCATTATCATCTGGGGACTCCAGAGAGACAAATGCCACTGCCTAATCTCTCAGTGGAGAAAGCAGGTACTGCTAAAAACTGAAGCTTTCTGTCAAGATGTTTCAGGGGCCATGTCCTCAAAAAATTGTATTACGTGCCGACTGTCCTTTAGACCAATAAAACCTAGTACCTTCCACTCGACATCACCATTGAATATTTCACTTTTAGCTATGTCCACTCTATTCCAGGCCACTGCCAGCTTCAGTTCATCCAGATATTCCTGAGCCTCCTGACTGTGGCTTTTACAAGCTGCAAAAAATAAGAAATAAAAGTAAACTCAGTACTTAATACTGTATTAAATTAGACATAATGTGTATGCAATCTGATTATCAAAATGAGCTCTCTTATCTGGTTATCTCAGATTTGTGGGTCATTTATCCAGAAATCCTTCACAGTCATTTTTGTTTCTCCTAACTTAAGAAACAGTAACCTAAACGTTTGTTAATTTTATTTTTTGAATATTGTTTGCTAGCAGAATTCTGTATTAAAACATTAAGTTGTAACGTCTGTCTTCTTTTAAGATGGATCCTGTTCTGCAGAAAGAGGTAGCTCCCATTGTTTTTGTCTTGTTTTAATCAGCACACTAGATAAGGAATGTCTTTTCCCCATGCTAAAATCAGTCTGGTCCAACACAAACTGAAACGGATGGCAGAGTAACTCAAGTCATCTTTCAGGAGACACGGTGAAGGCTTTTTATATGAGAACTGGACTGTTTCTGGAGCTAAAGCAGTTCAGGTCTATTTGTGGCTTTTTAAAAAGGCTTATAATTGGAACAACTGTTCCAGCATGTTTCAGTTTCTTCTATTACTAGTAAGAGAAGCAAGTAGTGAAATAAAGGAGCTATTAAAATAGTACTATATGACAGCATTAGATTAAAAAGCAAACATTATACTAATTTGATGCAAGGTTACAGGAGCTGTGGTAATTGCCCCAGTTACTTTATCAATGAGCAAGTATAAGAATTCTGCATCAGAAATGAAATCTGATCCAACGGCTAACCAAGCTTGCTCTGATCATCATGAATAAAATACAGCTGTGGCATAGAATTCATCAAATAAGACAAGTATTGCATTGTGCTATGTTTATTGTTCTTACCTTTTACTAAAGCTTTTAAAATGACTGTGTCCAGTTCTTCTGAACCTTCTTGCTCAAAGTTGTGCAGAGTTAGAAGATGTTGCTGTGAAATAATGTACCGAATCTATTGGGAGATGAAACAAAAATTGTTTTCTTCATTGTCTTACTGCTATACATCAATGACTAAAACTCCAGTGAGATCACACCTACAGCGTGTCCCAAATAACTTATGTTCTAACTGTAAAACTGATTTGGCAAGAAGGTTTGGCAAGAAGACAAACATTATTAGTTTCCCATATGCAAACAAGCCCTAAGGCAAGGCAGGAGTAACTGCCTTGTCCAAAATCACATAGCAGGATGGTCAGAATAGAACTCGGATATCCTGAGAACCAGATCAGTGTTTTAATTAAAAGATCCTTTCTTATCTTCCATTCTTATTTGACTCAGTCATACTGGGGCTAGCATGCCACTAGTTCTGTTTTACCCTTTCCTGTTTTGACATTTAACTTTTCCCCTTGGAGCTGTTTATTTAAAAGTGTGGTCTGTAAGTCTTCTTTGAGTAAAAGTCATCAAATATTGATGTATACAGTATTTTTTTTTCCTTCTGCTTCTCTAATGAATTTCCTTCCTCCTAGTATGGCTGCACCAAGACTTTGTGAGCATCTTACAATATTGCTTCTAGATGTCCTTCCATCCCCTGGTGTCAATGATTTGGCAAAGTTCTCCCTAATGGAATTACAAGTGGAGTAGATTACACTGGGGACTGCAAGGAAGTCCACTGCTGGGTGGACTTCATTTGTCTCAGAGGCACCCAGTGCTCCTCAATCTTTACATGAGGACAATATCAGAGGTGGGTTTTTTTTCTTAAACATTTATGCTTAGTGGTTTAAGTCCAGTGAATGTGCCTCAAGACAAACAGTGAGGAAACTATGAATCTGTTCTTTTGTTCTCTTTTTTAAAGAGGAACATTTATGACTCAGAATAGTTAGGATAACAGGAATGAAGGGTGTTTAGAAATTAATCTATTCATGCACATCCACAATTAGGTTTCCATTTAACAGCTGTAGATCATGAATTAGGTCTCTTCTTCACAGCTGCAGAAGCTCCACAGCTGTGGAGGATGAATAATGCTTCACGTCCTCCAGAAGAACTGCGAGGTTCCTGGGAGCTGGCTGTTACTTGAGGAAATAATTGAGGGAGGACTGAGCCCTAAGTGTTCAGCTGAATCACTAGGACAAAGTAGTTTGTATGATCTACTGAACACTTGATTTTAATATCAGATAGGTCTATGGCACTAGTGTTAGAGCACTGGTGTATCCAAAATTTTTGAGCAGCTTCCTGGCAAACCTGTACTGAATGGACTACTTAAGCTAGTAATGGTAGGAAAGAGCTTGTGAACACGATGCATGTAATTATCGAATGTATGAGCTCACTGTTGCTGTCCATTGGAGAATGTCCTTCCATGAGAAGTTTTCTGCAGGGAATTTCTCTTTGAATTGCTTTTCAACAACTTCTGGCATGATAAGCTCCGGCTCGTTCATGAATGCAGCTAAGATGTCAGCTGTACCTCCAGATCCTGCTAAGATAAGCCAGGGAGCAGAATTTTCCAAACCCCTGCAAATTCTCTGTAGTTTAAAAAATACAATTTTAGAATTCATATATGGAAAGAAAATATTAATTGAGAGGAGGATTCCTTGCAAACTAGGAATAAATGTATACCTAAACTAGATTCATTCTGGAGTCAGTCCAGACTTCAGGCTATTGGGATTGCTCAATTTCTGTAGCAGATCATCCAGGTATAGGCCCCTGACTATACTGCTTTCCACAGCACATCTGCCCTGCAGCTAAGCAGCCTGATTTGTTCAGACAGTGCTTAAAATCTGTTCGTCCCTGACTCACCCCTCTCTCTCCCCACCCCCAGCACTCTACAGTTCAGCATAATCAAGTCAAAGAGGAGCACTGTGCAGAAATTCTCAGCAGGCTTTTCTAGCTCACTAAAGCTGACTGCATGTTCTGAAAATCTCAAATTTACCTGGGGGAATACAGCACTGGGCCATGGAAAAAAAAATATGCTGAGGCATGGCAACTCAAAGAGTTAAACACTGCTGATCCCATTACTTATGCAGCTGGAAAGAGCAAGGCAGGTTGTTGGAAGGGAGGAAAGCAGAGGCATTGTAACTGCAATAATGACTATTTGCTGCCAGTCTTTTTTTTACCCTGGGGGAATGCAAGAAGCTGATGAGACTCTTAAAATCTCACTGTTTTAATTCTGTTGCTGAAGTTCTTTCTTCTTTCATAAATCTTACAGTCCTTACAGTATGTATTATCAAATTTGTCTTTAAGAAATGGAGATTCTGAGAAAGCACAAGCAGCTATTCATTGCAGCACATATGTGAACTTAGCTCCAGACATTTATTTTTGGTCTCCAAGTCACCTTGTACTCTAGAACTTTGGAAAGAAAATTAATAGGTTGTGATACGTGATTTTTAACACCAAAGATATAGAAATTGCTGCCATATTTAGCCTCTAAAAGGAAAGCTCAAGAGGTGATATCATTATAGTTTAGATGGTAAGAAGGTTTCTAATACCAGAAGATGTTTTAATCTAGCTGACAAAGATATGACAGGATGCAGTGACTGGAAACTGAAACTAGAAAATGTAACCAGAAATGAGTCACTATTCTGAAAAAGAAAACAGATTACTAGATTGTGTAGCAGAGTCTTGTCACATGGAACCTTTAAATTAAGGTTAAATGTCTTTCTAAAGATAAGGTGCTCTCCTTTCAACACAGTCAGTCAGTCTCAAATTTAGAAATAACTAGCTGAAAGTTCTTGTCTTTACAGTTTATAGGTCAGATTAGATATTCTATAGTGCTTTAAGGCCTTGAAATTCTACTATAGTGTACTCCTGTTCATCTGAAAATATTACCCCCAAAAATGCCATTCAGACACACAGGCTGCTACAAAGTATCAAAATAAAACACCAGAAAAGGTAAAACACAAATCAAAGAGCGTCTCTTCATCAACAGATTCCAGTTAACAGGTTCTTTAAGATGCAGAAGTGCTCAAGCAGATCAAAACCGATCCTTCGCTGAAAAAAGTGTTTGGAGTATTAGCAGACAACTCCAAAGAATCTTCTATCCTACAAGGTATTTGCTCTGTCGAGCTATGACACTATAGTTTACAAATGGCTTATCTAGCAAACCTGGCTTTGTGTTTCCTTGGGGCTCTGTGACAGAGACAATTGTCTTGCCGTTGCTGGACAGCCCTGAATGATTAACCTCCTTGTCTGTGACCTTGAGTAGTAACACAGTATTACACGTTAGATTTTGAGCTGGCTTCTGTGGGTTTGTTTTGTTTTTAGATTCTTCCTTCCCACTGTACTAGCTTGCAATGGAAGCTTTCGTGATCTGGTGATGCCTATTCAAAACGAAGCATTTCTCACAAATATTAGCAATTTTAATATTAACAGAATTTAATTCTTAAGTGGTATACAGGTCTGAGTTTTTACTTTATGTAAAGTGCCAATGCATGTATTTATCCATCAGTGTTACATCAATCGTTTCATACTTTGCTCCAGCTAATTTTCCTTTTATAGTATGACAAGCAGCTTCTTACCTCAAGTGTGCTTGGTCCTCCATTTACTAGTAAGCAGAGCACAGGGATCTCAATACTACCTGTTCCTGTAAAATAGAGGATTTAAAAAAAAGTTAACAATTCTCACAAAACTATGGTGTTTCTGCTGCGTCCTTGAAATACTTCTCCTGTTATGTGCTGTTTCAGTACCTACCAGAACTTGAACCTGCAGAATTCAGGCATTTGCAGAAGCAGGCAGCAAAGTAAGAGGATAACACTATAACCTAGCAGATAAAGTCTTACTCTCAAGTTCAGGACCAAGGCACCTTTGCCACGTGTCCTGCGTGATCTTTTGGCAAGTAATTCAGCATCTTCTCACCTCAGAACACCTCAGCGGCAAAATAGGGATAGTGGCACTTCTGTATATCATAGCAATGTAGTATTTAACGTATTCATTTATCAGAAGGTGATCAGATAGTGGGGAAATTGGGTAACATTAAAAGAAATTCACAGTAATTTGGATGTGTATGCAAGACAAGACTGTTGGGTTTTTAGAGAGACAGCTGGCATTATTTATATTCAGATGCAGTTAGAAGTGACGAGCTTCCAGTTTGGCCCAGATGTCTCTATGTGCCCCCATTTTATGAATGTACCTAGCATGTGCAGGAAGGTATAGCGGAATTCAGGGAGAAAAGGTTAATAAAATAAGAATTTAAAAATATCAAGAACCTGTCTGTGAGACCAGTTAGGGAGAAATAGCCAAGATGTGAGTTGACAGGAACCATATACTCTTTATTATTCTGCTTGATCAGCCTAAAATGTGATTCAGTGCAGTCTAATGTGATGATTATTAATAGCATAATCTTACATTTTTTCAGTAATTCTACATTTGAAAGAAACGCTTATGAAATAAATATTTAACTTCTGCAATGGCAGCAGGGAAAGAAATGATGTAAGCATCCCTGCTTTTAGACATCTTCCCACAGAGGTCCACTTATTCCTAGACGGTTTATACTGTGAAAGTTGAACTCTGTATTCCAGAGATGACTATACATGGCCTAAAAAGCTCCATCAAAATAGTAGCAGCATGAGATGAATGCTTCTTATAGTTGGAAGATAAAAGGCATTTGATTCAAATAGTTTTTTTCCTATTTCCCTTTCTAGGTCTCCAGAAGCAGCGTGTAGGTCACCAGTTGCTACTTTTTGGATCTGCAGTGGGACAGCTACAGAAATAACGTAGAACTGAGCTGTAGCATGGAGATGATTGGTAAGTAACTTCATTTGTTTTCAGCGAATGGCACAGCACTGCCAGACTTCTTTAAGGTGATGTTCTAGTTTGAAGAGTGACCTCTGCGACTATGAGATCCTAAGGATACGCGTTTATGGTTTCAAATCTTAATTTACCTAGAGTCAGATGAAGTTTAGCCTGTTTTTTTGTTTTGTTGCATGAAATTCTGACTTTATGGGGGGAAGGGGAGAAGCCTCTAATTACAAAGAATATTGAAAATATCAAAAATTTCATCTGAATACCTTCTAAGTATTACTTTTTTTTTACATGGAAATTCTGCATGACCTTATCGAAGTGTTTTACTTCAGTAAGGCTGAACAGGTTTGTTCAACTTGAATATAAATTAATTTAAATGGAGGACATAGGCTTTGTTTATAGAAGATCTTGGTGAGCTCAGTATGTTCAATTGAAATATTTGTCAAATGAATCAGCATTTTTGATGGAAAATTGTGCCACTGGGTTTTTTAAGTCCAGTTTGGTTTGCAAGCAGAAACGGGCTATTTTCCAGCTGTCAGCACTGCAATCTCAGCCTAGTGTTACAGTTCAGCTATGGTCTTTCCTGTCTGAGTCACCAGTAATAAGCATTCTTTGGGTACATTCATGCTCTCAGGTACATCTGTGCAAGCACAGTATGGGTTATAAAACTGAATACTCCACTGATGCATAAGTGTATGAATAAGTGAGTTCTCTCTCTGCTTTAGCTGTGATAGCACTGCAGATATAGGAGCAAAGGGAAGCTAAAAGTAACTGCATCAGCACTACAGCTGAACTGTTTCCACAAATAGCAGTAGGAGGCCTGTGCAACACTCATTTTCTTTATAAAATAAAGCTCATATAGCTTTAGATGGCCATTAGATGCTATATTGTTTACTGAGGATCAAATTTTGTCTTGAAATAAATATGGCTCAAAATATTTCGTAAGACTTTGTAACAAATCCTTTCCGTCAATGTGGGAACAATTCAAGACTTTGTGTGCAAGAGGGGATGAAAGTATACAACAGTGAACGTTCCTCCCTTAGAGCCACCGGTTAGGGCATTTAAAGCTGAATTTACTTTCCATTTGTTGTGTTTTAATGCAATCGGAACTATGTTTTGAAGGTCAGCTTTGAGCTATGTTTAAGGAGATGCGATACACATCAGGATTTTTGGTTCAAAAAGCTTTCTCAACTTGAGAAGTCATTTTAGTCCCACGCCTTACACAATGACAAGCATTTACTCAATTTTGCCTATGCGGATGGTAAAATGAGAATTGTACTTACCTTTGCTAAGACCAGGAACCCACAAAAAGTTGGGCCCACGGGTATTTCTGTAATATAACTATTCAAGTTAACATGCTTATATTGAGTCTACTTACCACCATACCCTGTACGCTGCTCTGAAATATGCTTTTCCAAAGTGAGACGTAGTTTAGTGGTTCCATCTGGCTCATCTGGTGCTATGTGATCCACCAAAATAAAATGGGAATGATTGTGGTCCAGGGAATACAATGGGCCTTGGATGTTATCGTCTGATTGGTAGTGCACAGGATTTTCATTCTAGAGAGAGAAGGAGAGATGTTGGTGTTTTCTGCAAAACACATTCCATATTTTTGTATGTGCTTCATCTCCATTTTCAATGTTCTTTATGCCATGACACAGAATACAACCTTTCAGACACTTCAACAGACCCTTTGAAAAGGGAGAAGAAGAATGTATTCCTTGTGAAAGGTGTCAGATTTGACAGGTCTGAAAGCCGAAGCTCTTGAAGTCTCCTTTTGGGGCTCTGCAAAATACACTGACACCAAACATCTCTGGAACTTAGGCATTCATTCCGAGGTTTTCAAATTGTTTGTTGGACAAAAGGAAAAGGGAGCACAAAACCTGATAATTGTGAACAAAACCTGAATGTCTGAGGGCTAAAGTTTCTGCTGGTACAAATGGCAGCAAATCTATTGATTTCAGTAGCATTTTGGCTATGTTTAGACCAGTAGATAAGTTAGCCTGCTGTATGTCCATATCAATTTAAATGTAGCTTTATTTAGTTGGCAAGGTTATATGAGCTCTAGTAGTTATTCTCAATTTGGAAGTTGAATTCTAAAAGACTGAGTAACAGGTAGGTTTTAGAAAGTGCAACCTCTTTATTTTAGTTTTATGGCAGGGTTGTGTCTTGAAATTATTTATTCATAAATTTTTGCATAAAACCACTGTCTGGGTAAAAAAGAACCCCACTTCCAGTCTTTTGCTTTAAGGATTGCACTTAATACGAACTTCCACGCACACTCTTTTTCAAGCTCCCCTTGCTTCCTTAATAAAACTTTCCTTCCCACTGCTGCGTGTCCGCTTTGGTCTATCATTGCTATCTGCAAGCCAGGCCATAAATGCCTGATGATTCTTCTTTTTCTTCCTCATAATCACTGTTCTGTTCCAAAGGAAGTTGGATCAAAGTAATAGTTCAAAATCTGTATTTCCTTTCATCGTGTCACTTTCCCAGTCCCTGCAGCCTTTGAGTTGACAAGGAAAGTTTGGACTGTCAGCTTGGCTATTCTGCCTGTATATTGTGTTATTTCTCCCCCTAATTGTGTGTATGAAGACTGATGTTAAAGCCCTTCTACACCTAGCAGTGCAACTACTGCAAATACCTTAGTTGTAGTTCAGAGATGGCAGGGAGATTTACATTCTGTCTTTTAAGATTCAGATCTGATATGGAGCCTTTCTGAATCTCAGTTTTTGCCAGTGTCTGCTAGGAAGAGCAGGTGCCCAGGGGAATCCTGGGGGAAATTCAGCCCTGGGATTGTCCTTCTTCACAGGCAAAGCTAAGGCTGATGTTAGGGAGGCACTGAACATGCCACCAGGAGCTCATTTGTGGCACTACTAATGCATGAAAACATGAAGTAATTCGGAGGACAAGCACCTTTTTTGCTGCTGGTAGAAGGGCTGAGCACACTGCAGACCACGCTTCTAGCTGGCTTTCTGAAATGAAGCTGCATACAATCAAACTGGAGAAGAGAAATATCCTTCAAGCAAGGTGAAAAAGGCCAAAATCAGGCTTGCCCTCTGGCTTTTGGCCCTGTCAGCAGCTCTGGGAAGAGTAGGAACCTCAGGGGCTGTTCCAGGGAAAAAGCAATGAATTTGCATGTGCTTTACAAACAGCTAGTACCTCAAGTTCCTTTTATCTCCTTTCCTCACCCTGTTTCTCATTTATCAGGAAAAGTGTCTTGACAAATTTTGTTTTGGCGGACGGCTTGCGTATCTTTTGCTGCTGTGTAACCGTAAGCCTACTTGCCTGAGATTTGGCCTTTGATTAGGACCCTGAGCCTCAGTAACCAATGAAAAAAGGTTCTGAGGGATTTTCCTCTTTATCCACTGAAGATGTGGACGTGATCGTTCAAGGATGTTTAAAGTGTGCCATTAACAGAGAAGAGATGGAGGGATCCACTGATTCAGGGTTTGTTTTGCTCATTGTTAGTGTGGATTGTCAGCTCCATTTTATACAACAAGCTGCTTGTGTTAGTGCCAAGTATAAAGAGAATTGGGTTTAGATCAACATCGCTGTCTACAGTTCCTTTGTCTTAAAGTTACTGACTAAAACCCAAAACGTTTTTGGGTGGAAGCAGTGCCAGAAGCCATAGGGTCAGGAATGCTCTACATGAAATATTCCTTGTCAAAAGTTCAGACTTTAGTTAAGAGAGAGCAGTGTAAATCTGATGCAATAAAAAGTGCACTTGTTTTGTAGCTATTATAGAGGAAAGACACAGATGAATTTTGATAACTTAAACTGGGAGGGAGGTGAAAGCAGTTGCTCTTCGTTTGCTAAAACAACTTCCCTGAACAAAATTTCCAAACGTTCTGAAAAAAATTCTTTCCTCTGAAGTCCTATCGGACCACTGCAGGCACACAAATAGGTTGAAGTTTTCCAGTTAGAGTCCCATCTAGCAGAACATACAGGTAGCTGTCCTCAGCGAAAGGACTGGGAAAAGGGGGAGCCCAATCACAATAAAATGCTGAAGCAGTCTGGCAGTCTCCCAGCTAATTAGTTGGTCTTTGCCAGCCTGTCTGAGAGAAGAACTAGGTGCCAGTTCAAAGAGCTGTGGTTGTCATCTCTTCCCCAGCCTCTCCATGAAAGTAAAATAGGATAGAGAAACTGTTCTTCATTATCACTACACATCTGTTTTATAATATTCTGCTTATGATAAGACAGTATATCCAGCAACCAGACTGCCATAGCACAATTCTTTTCTCCACCTTCAGGTCAATTCAGCATCAACATGTCTCAACATTTTCAATAACTGTTTTGTTGAATGGGTTTTTTGTTTGTTTGTTCTTTGCACAGATTTTGATTGCTTTCACCTGAATCATCAACTCCCTAGAACTCACGCTAACAAGATGAAATTCTGCATGGTTAGCACTTCTGGCCCAGTGTGTCAAGCAGTTTTTGCACATTAGACACCAATTCAACAACTATTTTGGAAAACCTGATCTTGAAAAATTTATGGCTCATGTTCCACACTAGGAAATACACTTTTTAAAGTATTTTTGAAATAGCTTGAGATTCTGCAATTAGTGGATGGCAGGGGGGAAGGGTGGGTATTCATGGTACCCTATGACGTACAAATACTGTTTTCCTCAAGTTCACCTTCCTTCTTGCTAGTATCTAATACTGCCACCTGATGGATATTTGCAGAATTGCTGCAAAGGGAGATTACACCTTCACTTAGTGGCACAAAATCTTCAGCATCTAACAATTCTTCTTGCTCTTTATCTTCCCTAAAAATATATATTAAAACCCACTTTTGTTTTTAAGATGGATAAATGTTTTGCTGCCTACTGCTTCCGATTTTTTTTAAATGTGCAGCTGACTTCTGAACAATCCTGTATTGTAAGTATAATGAGTAAAAAATACCTTTACGTTGTCCAGAATTTCTCGGTGCTGAATTTTTCTCAGGGAAGTTATTCCAATTGCAATCACTCTTACTTTGGATGAAGTACTAGCCAGTGCGTGATCTCGGACTGCTTGCCCTAAGTGCCTTGTTATTCCAACACGTAAAGCACTGGTAAAAATCCAAGCACCTGAAATAGTTTTTTCAAAAGTGGTTAGAAAATGTCTTTATAACTGAATTCGTGTGTGTATGTCAACTAACATCACTTGCAGTACTGTATTAAAGTTTTGTTTGGATAGGAAGACACATCTTGAGAGACTGTAACTTCTAGAGTTAAAATGTTTATACAATATGTAGGACTTCAATAAGGAAAATGATGGGAAACGATACGCCCAAGCAAAGATTCTTCACATATCACGTGACACAACATTTTTGGCTTTGCTTTAATGTCAATACGTCCATCCAGAATGTTGTTTCCATCCCAGAGCCACCCACTGTCCAAATACAAGCAGAAACATCACTATACCAAACAGATCTGACTGTTGCATGAGGAAGGAGAGAGGGATGGGGAGGAGGAAGTTGTTGGCTTGAACAAGGATTACACAGGGAGACCTAACTGTGCAACCCTGGGACTGCCTGGTAGTGGAAGAGCTTGGGCATAACCTCTCTAATCTCGTCTCTCTCCCTCTTGTTCTCGTACGTTGGAGAGTGAATTCCTCAGGAGAGTAGGATTTATTGCGTAAAGTTATGATGGCAAACAATTTGGAAAACCATAGCTGATTAGCCAACCAAACTTCGTCAAATGTGTAGCAAAGCAACAGGAGATCTTGATACTCCCAAGTAGTAGGTACTGAAGGCAGCTGGCGATAGAAAATAACTGTATGGTACAAAAGCACCAGAATGAGCTTTGGTACTTGGCTTTTTCATGATAAAAAGCAAAACGGTTACTATGTTGTTTGAACCAGTGAAGTTAAAACAAGAGCTTCCTGTGGAATGTTCACAGATATTTTGACTTCATTGTGCAGTTATTTTTCATAAAACTACAGGAAAATATGCCATCTTAAATGAAAGTCATTTTTATGTATATTCCTAGGAGTTTTTTTGTTTGTTTGTTTTAATGCCTTTCACTACTCTTATCATTCATGTGAACAAGCCAGGGAGAAAGTGAACTGATTTATTTTCTGCTAAATGTTAGACATCTGTGTTAAACACTGAAGTTTAAACAAAAGACCTTGTTAGTCTAATCACAGAGTCTGTTTTATTAACAATGTCTGTTCAAGATGTGGTTCAATTCTTAGATTTACAGTAAACAATCTTCAAAAAATAAAAATGATTGTAACATTATTTTGACTGTTAGCTAAAAAGTGAGAATAGGGAAAACAAGAATTCTTGTTTTGACCTAAATTCACTCTTGTTGAAGTCAAGTTGCTAAGCTCTCTGAAGAATTTTTTTTACTATCGCATCAAAGAGGGACAACATATTTGGTCCCATCTCATGCCATCTTTCCATTGGCATCGTTGAGGGTATAACCTCAAGTCATTCTACACTTCAGGAATGACTGTTTAGAGTAATTTGGTTAGAAATAAGTTATTTTTGCTGTTTGTAATACAATAGCTTTCATTTTCAAAGCTAGCTAAATGCAATTTGTAGACTACATTTAGCAAAGCCTTGTACTTCTAAAGTAACCATGTGAGTAGTCCCATTGATATTAAAAGATCATTAGATGCCATGTGAGAATCCAGTAGGAATATAAATTCCTCCTTCAATGCCTACAGCACTAACCTGTGCTTTGAGCTGCCTTTATAAGTCCTTTTTTTAAGGTGTCCCGTAGCCAAGGTTTCATCTGGAAATTTTCTTCTTCCCCCACTAAAGAGACAACCAAATTGGGAGCAGGTAGCTTCCACTTGTTGAGCATAACTTCGAATATAATGCCAGGATGAATGGTACACAGGACCTTAATAAACTTCAATAAGCAAAACAAAAAGTAGTGAATAACAATATGATGGTAGGATAAGGTAGAGATGTCATTCACGGTGAATACAAAGACAAACTTATAATCATAACAATTAAATGCTTATCGATACTCCTTGATAATTTGAGAAAAATTTCTTTGAGCAAGACTCGACAGAGAAATAAATATCAGGATGAACTTAGCAGGCACCACTGGTTAATTCACTGTGTTAAAAGACTGATACATCGCTCTCTCTTTTGATGCTGCTACTTCTCCTGAATCGCTTTCAATTCCATGGTAGTCTAGTGAAGCCAATAAATCTCTTAGGCGTTTCTTGTTTCTGCACTAGCTAAAATATTTGTCTGATTTCATGCCTCTTTCACCATATGGGCTGGGTTTCCATTTTCCAAATAATAACCCTTTAGCTAAAATAAATGCTTAAATTTTTGATTATTGTACCACCCGTAGGCAGCCTCAAAGCCTTCTGACGTGACCTTTCTGATGCTTATTATATGTTACATGAATTGTATGTTATACTTCTTTATGTTCTGTATGTTTTTGGCTTTGTGCTTAGAAGGCCATACAATGAAAATAAATCTCAAGGCAGATTTCTGATCCTAGGAATTCCTTCTGCTCTAGGACAAACCTATATAAAGGACTAGTGAGGAACTGGGGCTGTCCACAGATACCCTTCTCTGTATACTAGCAGAACAGAGAGAGGACTTTAAGGAAAGCCTTGAAATAGCTCAAAAGTATGTTTAAAAAGTTGAAATCCATAGTACTTAATTACTTGGTAGTAAGTGGTTAAAGCAAGGAAATGATGCAAAACGAAGGAAGCTGGGAACTTTTTTTTTTTTTTTCAAAAAAAGGAAAAAAGCGTGATCAGCTGTACTTGTAGCAGGTCTGTGTCAGTCAAATGATTGACTTCTGTTTATTAGGCCTTATTTAAAATTACATTGCTATTTATGAAGGTATGGTGCCTATTTGAATACAATGTGGTGCTTTGCACTATGGCACACTGACCCTGACTATTACTATAATCTCTACGTGACTTGCTTAGCATTAAACAACCAAACAACAGCAATGGTGTTAAAGGGCTAGAAACTCCTCAGTGCTATACCTTTCCATGTTTCTTCCCAGAAGCTGTGAAGTCGATTTCTCCTATGCAGTATGGCAGATCTCTTTTGAAAGCTGCTTCTTTGTCACTACTGCAGTGCTTGGATTCTGTTTCCTCCATTGAATTTGTAGGGTGATCACTAGTAGACCAGGGTTCACTGAGACGATGGAAAACTGGAAACATGAGAATTCAAATATTCTTGCTTAAACTGGAGAGGCCACAAAATCCAGGAATTTACATCTAGTTGAGTTTTTAGGCAAATATTTTACTCTTCTACTATTATGCTTATAAGCCTTAACTAAAATTGTAGGGCTCTGTTCCAAGTACCGGATGTATACAGAGGAGAAGGTGGATTCTACACCAAAGCTATGTAACGTAAGTTATAGAAGAACATGAAGGACTAAGGCATCTTGACTCTCATTTAGAAGAAAGAAAACTGAGTCACAAGGTGCAAGATCCTGCAGTCTGTTCAAAGTCACATAGGGTATCTCAGACCCAGGACGTGAACCCTAATTCTACAAGAGATAAAGAGGTGCCTCAGCCACAAACTGTTGCAAGCCGGAGGGGAGCTGTGTCAGTGAATGTCTGAGTCACAGTTTCTTGATGTCATTATCCATCATGCTACTGTGACTTCTGTTATCCAACACAAACACTAAATAACTAATTGATGACATTGTGCTTGTCTGAAGATGAGTTAGGAGATGTGTTTATTCTGTTTGCTGTAAAAATGGGATACTTGCCCATTAGCCAAAGTATTTTAGAACAGGTTGTACCTGACAACAACATACGGTTCAAAAAGGCCCATGGTTTCCACTATATGTGGCTATATGAAGCTTAAGATGGCAAGTTATGCATCCTCTTAGAGCAAGAGAGTCATATAACAAGAGTCTTTCTACTGCATTACACGAGACACTGACAAAGTTTGCTTGCTCTCTCTCCGTCCCAGTTTGACTCAACTGATCTAATTATGATTTGAAAAATACAGGTTTCAACTTGTATGTCTTAATTTGTTTCTTTACAAAATTAGAGCAAAGAAATAACTCTTCTCCCTCTGCTCCGTGCCTTCATTTGCATATTCAGTGTGTCCTTCGAAAAAATCCATGTAATAGTAAACCAGCGCTGGTAATCATCCCTGCATTAATGAGATTGTGCTCATAAAATCTTTATTTCCTAGTTGAACAGAATGTTGTAGATTTAAAAGTGGGTCAAAACAGTGAATATTTTGTGGGTCTATTATGATGATCCAGTAGAGGGAGCAAGCCTTCAAGTTGTTTCCTTGGGCTGGCAAGTCGCCAGGGAGTCTGTACCCTGGCTGGTTCACCAGTACTGTCTTTGTATATTCTTCTTTCTTTTTTTTCCTTTTTTTTTCCCCATACAAAGACTGTTTGGAGTTGCCCTTTTCTCAGGTTTTCATCATTTCAGTTTCTCATACAGCTATTTCACATCATCTCCTCCTGCCTGTCTTCTGTCACAGATCATTGCTTTAAAGATACTGTTCTCATTCTTTCCCCTACCTCTGGAGAGAATTAAGTGTTTATTCTGAATAGTGGAATGCCAGATTTGTTCAGGTAAGAGTTACCTAGAATATCCTCTTTCGGATTATCAGTAATGGCAGTTATAACAAAGTCTACCTTTTTTTCAGTCTACTTTGCCACTGGAGATGCAGCTCTATCTCCTAATAGCCTAGAGGACAATATTTTTAGGGAGAAAAAAAGAGTTAATGCATAGTGTTAAAAACACATTTTGACTGTTCTAAAGTATAGAAATAATTTCCTGGAAATCACTACCAGGACAAAGGATTTGGTTGGAAAAAAGTATCCAAGATTGAATTCACAGGGTACACTTAGTCACCGTTCATCACTGTCCTAGGTGCCACAGCCAAAGGAACTCATAATAGACAGCAATTTACAAAGTAATCTGACAGTTAGTCTGGCCTCATGGGTAGGACCCAAGCAGTTAATTTTAAGCCTAGCTCTAGACCCTCGCTTACAAAATTTGAGCCTATGGTTATCCAGGATTTCTCTTCTGGAACAAAGACACTGAGTTACTGAGCTTTATAAAGAACCTTTCTGTATTTGGATAATTAAATTTTCCAGAAATAGCATGTAATTTGATTTTTAGTTTAGCAGTTCTGGAGGGTAGTGGGCAATAGTAAAGGAGATAAAGCTTCTGCATCTTATCTATTTTTGTGCAGAAGGTTGTGTAAGACTAGCAAGTGAGGAAGGCAGCTGGTAACTGGGCAGGGCACTATTTTTTATCAAGTTGTTTCTGAATCATGACACTAGCGACAGTGTATTTTGGGGAAGTATTACTTCATCTTTCCATCCCATTCTTATACCTCTCCTTCAGCATCCACTGCAGGCCACTGCCAGTGATGGGATATAGAGCTAGATGGAATTTGATATGAGCTTGAACAGCTGTTCTTGTGTTCCTATTCTAAGTCAGGAAGGCATCCAGCATCAAGAGAAGTAGAAAAGTGGTACTGACAGAAAGGCAAAACATAAGTCTGGAAATTATGCAAGATTCTGAATCGTATCCAAAAAAGAATCTAGTATAGTCCTTTATGTAGTTGAGAAACGACATTGGATGGGACATTAGACTATTATGGAGTGCTATTTCCCAAGTTTCTGCAGGCAGCCGTCAGGAGCCTTTACAGACAAGGCCAACATGCAATGTCAGTATCTTTTTTTCAGTGCGAACTGATGCTTTGACAGTTTTACTTGTTTTCTCTTTGTAATTCCTTTGTCAGGAATAACTATTGTGCCTTTCAGTATGACTGCAGTAATGTACAGGTGTAAATGTTCCATGTTGGTACAATGTTCCACTGAACGTAGCTCCTGGAGCAAGGAATGTTGCTTTGGTATTTAAGGGGGTGAGGAAGATGATTTTAAAGGTTGTTTCTACATTAACTGAAGGGAGTTCCTTAGATTACAAATGTTGCAAAGTCACCAGAAAGAACTGCTGCATAGAATTTGCAGATGTGGTTCTTAAGCCCAAAGGCTAACCCCATTAAATGCCTCGTTACCTCTCTCTATCTGTCTCAGCTGCTGCAATGTAGCCCCTCCACTGTTATGATCAGAATCACAGAACAGAGTATTTGTGTTCAGTGCCACGTTTCCCCTTGCTATTTTGCACTTCACTACATACTGATCAGTCAACACGCAGACTGCATTCTGTCCCTAATATGTGAACATATATTCAGAGAAGGATATAGTTAACTATGTTACTTCCCCTTGAATTGTTAAGACTTCTGTTTTTAAAAAGCAAACAGACATCTCACCCAGTGTTTTCCAGCAAAAAAAAGCGGCACTAAACAGGTATTAACCAACTATGTAATATAACTACTTTTTTTTTTGGAGTGCCTTTCTTTTGGGTATAATTTTGTCTTATTCTGCTTGGTTCCAGCTTTCATGTTAAGTCTCTTTAATGGTTTCAAGGGCTATTGCTTTGAAACTTCTGGCTGTACTGAACTGCAAGTGTGTCAGGTCACAGCAATCGGGTCAAATCTTTGTGGTCGAAGTCACGACATTCCTCTCAAGTCAGTTTAACTATGGTCAGCTTGCATCAGCATAACATCAGGGACCATTGTTTAATTATAAGGGTCTGGAATAAGTCCGTCCCTTGGGAAAGAAGAGGAAGATAGCCAGTAAGAGGAGCATAGTCCAAGCACTTTTAGATGAGAGGAAAGGGAGGGAGGAAAGCAAAGAACAGGCAAAGGCTATAAGCAGAGTTGCCTGAAATTCAAATCAAGGAGAGGATGACCAGTACTTCATTATTTTCTCTCTCTCCAAATACTAAGAAATTTTCTGGTAAACTCTTTTAGAAAATTCTAGTTTTTTTTTTTTGTTCCTAATTTTAAAGTTTTTTCCCTCCATTATTTGTGAGAATACCATTGTATTAACTCTGATGAAAAATTTACTTCAAGGCAAGCGGTAGGAAATACCTGAGGAACGAAAAAAATGCCACAAAAATCCTACCTGTCTCAATCTGTCCGTTGATATTTTATATACATATGTACACACAATGTATTAATCAGGCAACCTTACTTGAGCTCTGGTTCAGGCTTAAGTAGAGAATTTCTATCTAGGCTGCTGCTGCGTATTAAAATTTGTAGGTCAACTTCTGTCCTAGATGTTCCCATTGACTATAAACACAAACATCTATGGCAAGAATGTACCTCTAATCATTTCCAGATTTGAAATATAACCTAGAAAACTATTTCTAACTAGCAAAGCAGTTAAGACAATTATGAGAAAAGACAACTGTCAGTTCCACCTACATCTGGAAATGTGAGTCAATGTCATTTACATTAGGGATGGCCTGATTAAGTCATTCCAGGTGTCAGCCAGCCTCATGAGTCATTATTTCTGTAACCTCATAAATGGGAGCTGTTAGAATTGCACCACTGTACAACCAGGGCTCGTAATGCTGGCATTTACATGTCCGAATGCTGTTGCATATGTGGTCCTTAATTTTGGATGGTCCTAACTTCTTACTTGGGAATTCTGGATTTTTGGGGACGTAGGAAATGGGCAGGGAGAAATAACTTTAGGGGATGATTGTTGTGATTGTGGGGAAACTCTAGAAGGGGGATCCCTATAGGAATTATTTCCTGAAGGATTTATCTAGAAGAAGTGATAAGATCAGCGCCACAGTGAGACTTTTGACACCTATGTGTGCCCCTCTGTGGATGGTTCTTCCTTCTACCTCTGGTTCCTGACTCCCACCTCCTCTTCCCCTACCACTTCTCTCCCAGTTCCCCCTAGTTTTTCCACAGGCTCTTTGCAACTGTTGTCACTGCCCACTTAGCGTACTGTTTATCTACAGCTTTTCTTCCAGGTGTGGTAACAGCAAATGACAGATCATTCACCTCTAGAAGGGTGACAAGAACGTGGGTCCCTTTCACCTTGCTTTGCTGTGCCTTTAGATGTTACACAGGGTTGGGCTTGTCCATAGTAGGAATAGAGAGGCCAAGTTTGAGCCTTTCAAACACATCTAGTAAAAATGGGCCCAGTCAAGTGATGACAAGGCCTGCAGATATTGCCTAGGGAACTATTGCCTATATATTACACAGTCTGCTTGACCTCAGTTGTTGTCTTCAAGGGTAATAGTTGATTAAG